TTTACCAGTGTCAGGCTTCAGGATTTGACAGATGATTTGGGAAACCCCACTTCTCTTTGCAGGAAGAGACTTAAAAGGACAAAAGATCCTGAGGATGTTACAGCCTTGCTGCTGAGATTTCTCTATATTCCAAAGTGTTTTGTGTACAGGAAATACAGTTCCCTTCTGCTGTGACTGCTCATTACTTTTAGTTGAGAGGAGCCAGGTTTTCAGGTTGGTTAGGAATTCACTGTTAATGGCCACTTGAGGGATACTGAGTTTAAATGACTGGTGTAGTGCTCCATTGGAGCTGCGTGGCAGCTCTCCAAGGCACAGTTCATCTGCCTGGACGCTGAGAGGGTGGCAGGGAGTGTCAGGGTGGCTGCCATCCTTGCTGCCAGCAGCTGTTAGAGTTGTCATGCACTTTTGCCCTGAAGCCCTGATGCACAGCTCAGGTAAATCCCACGTGCCAAGAGTAAAGGCAGCTGCAGCAGGCAGCGCTCCCCTGCCACATTTCCCTCCCTTCTCAGGGGTGAGTGCTTGAACTCGTCAGTGTTCTCTCTTCAACATATCTGTGGTACACCAAAGACTTTGCAGGAAGCAAACAAATGGCATTGTGCTTTGGCATCATGGTTCTTCAGCAGTGCTGCAGCTGCACAGCCAGCAGGCAGTCCTCCATGCCTAACCCCAATTCTTGCTCTCTCCCTATCCGACCCTCCGATTTTCTGTCCCCATTAAGTGAATTTTCTTGTTCTGACATGTTTTATCCTGCCATCCCCTGGCCCAGATCTTGGCTGCTCTGTTTTGGGCATAGATGACTCCAGGCTGCAGTGGGGAGGTCGCCTGGATCAGGAGACCCTCCTTGCTTTGGAGGTGGCCCTACTCTGGGTGACAGCAGATGCCAGAGGCAATCTGCTATACTGTCACTTCTGTTCTGCTATACCATGGACTAGACTGTGTTCATTGCATTGTGTGGCATCAGGCTAAACCCAGGTTTTACCTCTGTTCCAGAGATTGTGAGAATTTGGTCTTTCCAGCCACTTTTTGGGGAATGTCTCAATCAGACCAATGTGACCAAAATCTTGCAACAAAACTTTCTGTCAGTCATCCATGTCAACAATGGACAGAGTATGCTAAAATTCTGAGCCTTGAAATGCAGGAAGGGTATGGCAGCCGTATTGCCCAATCTGTCCTCTGTCTGGGTTTAATTGTGTATGCCCACGTGAAAGTAGGCTAGGGACCATGTACACATGATTGAGTTGCATCTCTTTAAGTGAAGGCTTTCTTTAATTTGCTTTCAGAGAAAGCAGTGAAATACTAATGGCATTTCCAGTACTGAAAATCCTGTTTCCTTTACTTAGCATGTGTCTTCTGGCCACTCGGAGAGGCTGGGGATGGGGGGGTTGAGGTTGTGTCTTCAGCTGGATTTCTACCATACAGGCCTTTTTCTTCATTATTTAAATGGCGTCTGTGAAGTGTATTGGTAGGACAACTTGACACTAAAACTTAAAGCTACTAGTATGGGAAGCAAGGAGTAAACACAGACACTAAAAGACACTTCTGAGAATTTTAAGTGGTGTCACTACTTAAATAATGTTGTAGGTACAGAGTATGGAGAAACTTTATGATTAAGTAATCTATTGTTAATGCAATTTTGCAAGTATTATTATAACACATCACTGCTGTGGTTATTAGTGGCAGGTATTTGCCATTGATACTGAAAGAAATTTAATTAGCTTTCTCTCCCTCTGTATTTCTGCTTTTCGTGGCACTGTCTGCTTAGCATTGGTCCTAGTGCTGTCAGGCAGGATGGCCTGGGAAAAGGGCAGAGGATTTGGGCATAGGAGAGCTGTGTTCTCCTGTGTAGCTCTACAAGGGTGGGCTGTGGTATCTCATCTGCCTCTCCAAACTGGTATCTGTTGCTTCTATTAGTGATTTTGGGGAAAAGACTTTTTCTTGTTTAATGTTTTTATGAGATGAGGCAGAAAACAAAAGACCTGAATATCTACTGCAAAACTGCTGTAATCCAAATAATAGATAATTGCTTGCAGTTAATTATTTTTCTCTTTTGTTTTGTTTTTCACACAGAGCAATGAGGCAAGAGAGAAGTTTTTAAAAACAGAAAAATGTGACTGCATAAACATCGTTGTTGGCAGGAGGACTCAGTGGATTCAGGTAATAATGTGACACCACTTTTATTGTGCTTTAAAAACTGGCTGGGTTTCAGGCTGTCAGTGGCCCTTTGTCAGGGGCTGAGGAGTAGAGGAAGGTGACAAAGTATAACAAGACCCAGTAGCTGGCTGTTAATTCATTCAGACCAGATGAGAGGATGTGGGTGATCTCACAGTGCTGGGGAGTGATGACAGGGCTGCAGTAGCTTCCTCCTTTATATCAGGCTGTTGTATCTGAGTCTGGTTTTTTTTTGGGGGGGGGTTTTAACGGGCTTTTTTTAAACCCTAATAGATTCTCTCCTTCAACCTCTTACAGCTTCATCGATACAGGCAGGAAGCTCCATGCCTGTTTCATGGAAGAAGGTCAAATGATCAGCAGTCCCTTCAGACTTCAGAACCCTGAATCCATTAATATTTCCCTTGAATTCCCCCTTTAAAAGGATTTCTGGATCAGAGCAGATCATTATCTGCTGAAAGACCCAGACCTAAACCTTTACTGCTTTAGAGAATGACTGCTGGTTGTTTTCTGTGTGTGAAGACAATTTCTCATTGCATGGTTGTAGGAAACCTAATGTGTGATATTTAAGCATACTACTAATGTTTGCAGCATATTATCTTGAAGTAATGGACACTAACATATTTAGATCCTGTTTCTTAGGAAAAGTAAATTCCTAGCTAAAATGCGTCTCTCATGGTTTTAATAATTTTAATTTCCCGCACTCAAGGGGAGTGTAGAATGAAGGCAGGGGGAGTTTACAGTGCTAATTGCACTCCACATTTGTAATTGGGAGCAGATCCTATCCTCAATCTTCTTAGGCAATCCTAGTGAAGTCATGAGGCTTTTCACAAGCATATGGTTTTCCCCACGCCTGTTTGGTTCTGGGGTAAGGGCCTATGGTGTGCTTTTTTGTTCACTGATTTCTCATACGGAGGAAGTTTGAAAAATATGTATCATCCTTTCCAATGTAGATTCTTCATTTCTAGCAAGAGTTGAAAAAGTTCTGCAGTATTTTATTGAGATCAGCAAAGTTCATTGCTTTAGACAGAGCTCTTACTAACTGGCAAGTGCATTTTCTTAGTTAGATGCAAGGTGAGGGAAAAAGCAGTTGTGGCTTTGCATTGCTATAGTCATGATGAAGAAGGATGTTTAAAAAGGATATGAATGGGTGTGGATTTGGTATTTCCTAAAGCCAGCTTCTTTTTGGTATTAAATTGCATACTCCAGGAAGCTGGTTGCTGTATCAACATTGGTATAATGACAAATTATTTAAAAAAATCAATATCCAGTCATAGAAACAAGTCCTGATATAAGCATTTGGGTGCTTACAGCTGTGATTTCTATGTATTTGCAAATGTAATGGGCTTTTTTTTTTCCCTTGTAGCACTGGTAACTTGGATAAACACTGTATGTGTGACTCATTGCAGAATATAAACTTACTTTAAGGGAGCAAATGTTGGATTTGCTGAATATCCTATTGCTCACATCCCTGAATACCTACTTGCAATAGGTCATGATTAATCTTAAATTGGCTAACCTGAGGGGAAAATTACTGCTGATGTCCCATAGGTACTTCAGAAACAAACAGAATGATGGAAGTGCTTTAAAAACGTAAATAGTAGTTAGAATTCATAAAATCGTAAAGCAAACATATGGTACAAGGCCTTCTAAAATGTAACACTTGAAAGCTTTTTTTATCATTTCAGAAAGTGCTTGTTTAGTTATCACAGGAAAAGTAAATATTTTCATTCCTTTTTCTTCAGTGCACTCTCATTCCATTTATCTTTCCCTTCTTCCTTTTGTACTTCTTTTTTGTCCCCCCCAGAGTGTTCTTATTTTGGTGGGATGGCAGATCAACACCTGATGTGCATAGAAAGCCCTGCTTGAGAGCAGGAGATAAAGCTGCTATTGGTCCTCCTGTTGTTAGGTACATTCTTAAAGTCCTTTTGCAGTGTCGGCACGGAGTTGATGTAATCCAAACTGAACACTTGCTGTGCGCATGTGTGCGTGAGTGAGATGTGATGGACACTGCAGCAGCTTCAGGACCACTCAAGAACACACTTATGTTTTAATGCAATACCCCAGACATTGGTGAGGAGGAATGCAGTCCCTCTGTGTGTGCTTGTACACACTTGTGTGTAGGCATGTGAGCTCACGGAAGGCAGTACAAATCAGCTCTTCTGCTGCACCTTTGGTGGGGTGGTTGTGGTCTCCACTGCTTCGAGCCATTAGTGAGACCGGGAGGTGAAGCTGCTGCTGGAAAGGTGTGGAAGAAAGAAGATGGGGAGCAGAGGAGTGGGGAGCTGGGTGGGGATTGGGGGCCAGGGAGGAAGACACAGCTCCAGAGGGAAATACTCTGTGCTTTGCAGTTGCTCGTGTGGATAGAAACCAGATGGTGCACTGGAACACCCGCTCGCTTGGGCGGCGGCGGAGCCAAACATATGGTTAATGGTTAGGAGAAAAAGCTTTTCGAGCCAGGGCTTTGCTGACTGCCTCGCATTACAGATTGTTGCAGTGTGTCATTACATTGCCAAACTAAGTGCTTAATACCCGCTGCGGGCGCTGGGCAGGCATTTGCAGGAAGGATGCAGAGGCTCCCTGGTCAGGGCGGGAGGCTGACATCACGTACGGCCTCCTGCCACACCCCCCCACACCCCCTTTCCCCTCTGGAAACCCCATAAATCTCTCCATTTACAAGCCCAAATCTACAGCACGCAGTTTTCTTGCTCTAAGTGTCTTTAATTCATTTATTTCCAGAAGCATATGGTTGGTTTTGCCTTTGCCTTTTTTTTTGCCTTCTTGCCTTCTTTCTTT